CATCTAATTTCAAAACGTTAAATACTCAACAATATTCGAAAAGAAAAATTGTTTGCAAACACACATTGGACGCATCTCGAATCCATCGCTAGCCATCGTCTACGCGCAATGCGAGCTCGTATTGGTCTACGTACAACACATTTCCATTCTGATTTGCGTGTAATTTAAAAAAATCTGAGATATTAAATCGTGATCGAAAAGTATCGAAAATAAATTTGATCGTTTGCAAACAACTGGACGATTGGACGAAAGCGACTCGAGTCCATCGCTAGCCACCTATGCACAATGCGCGCTCGTGTTTATCGGCGCTCGTCGGTGTGAGGCACGTGGTGCACAGGCAGCAGAGACAGTTGCAGCGGATGGTACACTCGGCTTAGGCCGTTGCCCCGCATAAATCCAAGCGAGAGAGAATCGTGGAAAGCCCCCCTCCGCTCGGCTTCGTTCCGCCAAGTTTCGAAGATGGGTCAAGGGAGTCCGCGAGGAGTCCGTTTCCTTCGAAAAGGATGTCGCCTTTCACGTAAACGAATCGATCGAAACGCTCACGCGTTTTTCAACGCGTGGATGTCGAGGATGTTATCCTCTGCTCAAGGATCGGAAGGGAGAAGGCAGATCGAAGGCTAACCGTCTTCTCGAATTTAATTTTCCCTCCCTTCTTTTTTTCCCTTCGATCAGAGAACAATCTAATCTAAAGGATATCCTACGAGATCAGACGGTTCTTTTTGGGGGATAGATTCCGATCGAAATGGGATCGATCGGAGTTTTAGATCGTACACTCAAGTTTTTTTGCAATCTTCTACTTTTCCTTTTTCTCGCTTCCTTATCGTCACTCGTCAGAGGAAAGAAATAAGATGGACGAATGCTCGTTCCCCCTCCATTCGAGATTGCCAGAAAGCGATGGTTAACGACGCCCCGGGCTGTGTTCGAGATGTATTCTCGGACGTGGCGAGCACGAGCGAATCGAATTATGTCGAACCAGTCGTGAGTTGGCTCGAAGAAAAAAAAAAAGAAAAAGAAAAATTTCGAGAAAAATGGAATGAAATTATCCGTAGGCATTCCAGTTATCCGGGACACGTAGGGGAAAAAATCGATTGGAACGATTGGTAACACGGTCGTTCTTATAATAAGAACAGGGGTTTAAATCGGTCTTATCTGATCCGATAAGTCCTTTGAAAGCGAGCCGGGGAACGTTTAATGATCGCGGGATAAAAGAAAAAGAAGCGAAAGAACGAAAGAAAGAGAGAAAGGAAGGAAGGAAGGAAAGAAGGAAGGAAGGAAAGAAGGAAGGAAGGAAGGAAAAAGAAGGGTTGGAGGATCGGCGCGGAGGTCTTTAATGACGTAACAAAAAACTACTAATTACTCGGGCTAAGATAATTCCTGAATACAACGTGGCACAATGTAACGATATCTCGAAAGATCTCTCACGTCCCGGGGACAATTATGCGTGCTTTTCCTGCAAGAAATATAATTACGAAGCCCGAGGCCGCGTGACCGTTTCCTGCCCTCCTTCCATCTCGCTCCGTTTCGAGAGATCGAAACGCTTTTGTCCTCGTAATTGCGATCGTGCAATCGACAATCCATTCCCTGCGACCGTATCTCCCCCTTCCCTCGGCGACTAATCGACGTAATCCTCTTTCAGGGAATCCTTACGCTCCTGGATCTTAACGTACGAATTATATCCTCTGAATTCTTGAAAGAAAAATATATACGTATAGAAGAAAAAATTCTTGCTAGATGATACGAATACAATTCTACAATTTTTAGTGGAAAGAATTTTACTACTAGATTTTGAAAAAAAAACGAAAAAAGAATAACCAAATAGAGCCGCGATCTCTTCCTCGCGCGAATTATTCCTTTCGAATTATTTTTCGAAAAGAGATATATAATTTTATCGAAAAGAGAGAGATCTTCCTGATCAAATAAAAAAAATATAACAAGCCTATATAGGAGAAAAAATTTTACTATTGGATTTTGAAGAAGAAAAAAAAAAAGAAGAGAGGCGCCAATCCCTCGTTGGAGTCGCATCGACCACGATCAGCGCCACGATCTCGACGATGTGAACGGTCATAAATTTGACACGTCGCGGAGCGCGTGTGCACGTGTTCGGTGGGTAACAATCGAGCCAATTTCGATTGGCCAATCACTCGATTCGACTTACTTAATAATAATAATAATAATAAACGGAAATCGGGTGTGTGGCGGGTTCAGACGAAAGAGAGAATGCTCTCTCTCTCTCTCTTTCTCTTTCTCTCCGTAAGGCTCTCGTTCCGCGTAAACGAGGCGCGCGAGCGAGGAATGCGTGGGCGTGAGAGCGAGAGGGCCGAGGGAAGAGGTCGAGTTAGAGTTCGGTGGCGGCGGAGGAGAGAGAGAGAGAGAGAGAGAGAGAAGGGATCGTGGCAAGTTGGTGCAAGGAGTCGGACGATGATTCAGAGACTCTCGTTTCTCTTCCTCCCCTCTCCCCCTCCTGTTCGTTCAACGAACAGCGTGAAGAAATGATGGGTGAAAACGATGATAAAGCGTTTAATGTTTCGGTGCGTGGTTTATGGGAGGAAACAATATGCCCGGTGGGGATTAAACGTATAAAGTAAGAGTTACGATTGCTATCGCGAACGAGAATCAAGCCTGATGAGATAATAAATTTCATTAATCGAGCAGACACACGCGTGAAAACGATCGTACATATTTGCTGTAACGCGAATGTACCAGGGGGGCAAAGGATCCATGGGAAAAAAGGCGATGCGCGAAAAGGATGCGAAAAAGTGTGTATGTTTGCGTGTGTGTATGTGTGTGTATATATATATATATACGTGTTATTTTTATTACGCGAGCAAGAATAGTGAAATAATGCCACGAAATTTTAATCCCTGTCGCATCGAGGAGATTACGCGTACGTGACGCGAATTACGCGCGACGTATAAATTCTCTAAATAAATAGAACGAAAGGGAATTCTAAGCGAAAAAAGATGCGCGTGCACACGCGAGGGATGTTTTCGCGACTCTTCTGTTGTCGCGAGGGAAGAAGTGGTACAGGGAAAAACAGGAAGAAGGGAGACGGGCATTAAAACATTTCTTGAAAAGGGAATCTTTACTTTAAAAAAAAAAAAAAGAAGAGAGAGAAGGAAAAGGACGGTTGGGAGGGGAAGTTGAAAGAAGTCGTAAAGACGTCCCGATGCACGGAGGCGTCTCGTACGGAAAAACACGTTTTCTCGCGCGCAACCTCCTCTAATGAATCTTTTAACGAGCATCCTCCCCGGAGCGAACGAGTTAATAAAGCAAACGCCGATTCAAAGGTACGAATGACAGGAAAGGTGGGACGTAAACCGTAACGGGTAATAGGAAAATCCTCCTGGTTTCCACGGCTTCCAACCTGTCGGTCCGGTGATAAGAATGCAGCGCACAGGCAATCAAGAGGCGGAGAAACCGCGAGGAGAAGGAGGAGGAGGAGGACGACTGTTTTTAACTGTAAAACGCAGGTAAAACTTGGCTCGTACGATTGCCGAGCCACAGCCCCCGGTGAGGTTCTTCGGTTTTTCAGGGGCGTAGCCGATTCCACGCGGCGCCCCTCGCCCAATTTCTCACCCGCGTCCCGTGTGAAATGATGTTAAAAAGGAAAAAAAAAAAAAGAAAAAGAGAGAGGAAGACAGCGACTCGACGATGGCACGACGCGCAAAAAGTAGGATACGCAGCTCGCAGTAAAAGGGCAAAGCCACTTGTAACTTGATTACGGTTCGGACGTTGAACAGAGCGATGAATAAAGGCGGAACGGGGCTTTGACGATCGCGTAAAAGAATGAATGAGAGAAGCAAGAATGAAATTGCAGGGGGGAGGGGAGGGGGAAGGAAAAAGAAAAAAAGGAGAGAAAGATCGTTCAAACGACTCTACGCGTGGAACTTTTTAAGGGCCATTAAAAAATAACGCTCTTAATCCGCGCGGATTTTTACTTCTTCTGGTAAATCCGCCGGCGCGATGTTTAAACCTCGTTTCTCGAATCGTTTCGAATTGTTTCTTCCTTTCCGGAGACGGGGAAGGGAGGAGAGGGAAGAGGAGGAGGAGGAGGGGGAGGGGGAAGGGAATTATTTAAAATTCGTAAAAGACGAGGAGGAGAAGGAGGAGGAGAGACCATATTTTTCGTCTCTCCTCTTGTCGTCGTCGTCGTCCTCCTCCTCCTTCTCCTCCGCTCGCCGGGTATGTCGCATTTAAATCGTGCAACGTCCGTGAAAACACGACTCGACGCGCTCAAAACGAAAAGGACGATCGAGAGCGATGCCCAGTGGCGTACCTTGAAGTTTCTTCTCGGTCTCCCAGAACTTTTGCAGCTCCGTAAAATACTTGTCCAGTATGAAGACCTTGGAGAGGCCCAGGGTGGCCATCTCAGGTGGTCGAGGCTCGTTATCGGCTAGAATTTTCTTCACCTGAATTCGACTCTTATCGCGCCTTATCTTTTTCCCCTCCTTTCTATTTCTCTCTCTCTCTCTCTTCCTCTTCTCTTCTCTTCTCTTCTCTTCCCTTCTCTTCTCGTCTCTTCTCTACTCTTTCTTTCTTTCTTTCCTCACACCACGTCCAATGGATGGATCGCTCGGCCAACTTCACGGGACAATCTTCACGAAATTTCACAGATCACCCGTCTGACGTCTGACCGATTGCCAGTTCATCGTGTCCTCGGCACACTCGTCACCGCACTCGCACATTTTCCTTCCGTTTTTTTTTTTTTTCTTTTTTTCACCTCTTCCCTTCTTCTCCCGCCCCCCCTCCCGCCCCACCCCCCCTCCCCAAACTGTCACGAACGGATAAACAGAACAACACTGAGAGAACTCTGAGCGACCGGATCACATCGCGATCCTCCTCCACGATGTATATTGTTACTCCGTTATTCGTTCACTTTGCGAGACGCGCACGAGGGAAAGGAACAAAGGAAAAAAAATCCACGTATCGAGGGGGAAGGGGGATCACGAATGGAATCGCGTTAAAAAAAAAAAAAATCGAAGCGTTATTATTCTTTTTCCTTCCTTTCGACCCCACAGAACGCCAGCTGTAGTACTCGGGGGGGAGGGGAAGGAAATTTTCCTCGAGAAATTTCGAGAAACGCTCGCTCTGCTCGAAAAGCGTCGTTCCCTTTCCTCTCTCTCTCTCTCTCTCTCTCTCTCTCTCTCTC